TTTGGGAAATCCTCGCCTATTTTGCATACCCAAATGGAAAAGCAAATAACTTTGGAACTATAAGCCCAAATTAATGTGCAATACATTATTTGAAAGCTAACACCCTCTAGTTTCCTAATATATAAAATGTATAAAAATAAAAAAAATTTGGTGAGTAGAACACAGACCAACCTGCATCAGTTCGCCCACGAGCTGGTGGGTTTTAAGAGGTAAAACAGAGCATGCAAGAGGAGAAATGGGCTCGTGCATGCTCTTGCATGCAAATTTTTTTTATTTGGAGAAGGTGGGTCTTTTAAAAAAAATTTGAGAAAATCCTCCACAATACCTTTAAGTTGGAGCAGCATTTTCATTTTAGAGAGCAGTTGACTGAAGATAAAACATCCAAGTTCAAGTTTATATGCTTCTCTAAGAATAAATTTTGAAAATTAATAATCATTTCATTTATGTTATATGCTTTAATCATAAATCATATTTTATTTTGTTTCATATGAAGTCAGAGGGAAATATGGGGACTTTGAAAGAAACAATTTGTGACCACTATCTCCAGCCATACATATGAATCAGATGTATTTGTACTGATCATTCTAGGCTTGTAAAGTGCATGTGAATAAAAATAACGACAACTCTGCATTAAGTCATTTATTTTGTGCCATTATATCATTGCACATGAGCTATCAATTGTGTTATTTTGTGTTACAATCTGACAAGTAAGAAATAAAATCACCTATTTTACATTATTTATTTAACTAAGTGCAGATGAAACAAAGTAGGTTATAGCAAAATAGCTAAAGCCTAAATGCGTACCGGTATGTTAATAATTCTAATCTACATAATTAAAATTGTCAGAATTAAAAAGTTGGTTACTATTGACTATCTTTAAGGTGTTAAACATGGATATTTTGGACTAATTGAAAATAATTTTACTGATAGAAAATATTTCTGTAAATCATGACATGAATTGTTATAATAGTTTTTCATAATTTTTAATATTTGATGCCATCACTGTTGCATTATATTCTGATATTCCTCAGCTCTAAGCTTCCATTTTATTTACAAATGTCCATCCTGTTTCTACATTTCAATCTTTAAACACTTGTAGTGGATCTAAGGCAGATCAACCAACACGGAAAGAAAAAAGCACCAAAGCAAATTACTTAAAGAGGCTTAACAAGCTAATATAAAAGAAAAGTTGTTTTCTGAGAACTCCTGTAAAACCTCCAGAGAGGATTTTACAAAGAAGAATTCTTCATAAAATAAAGAAAATTATGTTAATGTTTGAGCATCGTCTTCAGGAGACTGTTAAAGAACAGGAATGTATTCAGTAAAGGGTTTCTCCAGTTCAATATAGATTGTTGCATTTAGTTACATTTAGTTTTTTAGGAATCAGGGTTAATGATGCATCATAAATACAGCATGGGGTAGATCCCTGAAATATCAATAAAACATGTTTGCTTTCTTAAAAACTGGATAAATGGCTGAATTGTTTGTGTCAAAAAGATCATACAAGACAAACATATATTTTTATATGGATCATAATAATTCAGGTTGTACAGTATTCGTGCATGTCAGACAGTTTGAAATGCATTCTATAACTCTACTTTTATGTTTCTCAAGAAAAAGTAAGATCTAAGTGATTTACTTCTTATAATTTCCAGTATAACTATCAAAAAATAAATTATGAAAAAAATAAAAGTTGCAGACCGATGAAGTGTTTCCAGAGGAACCAATAAAACTCTGATCTTTTCTGCCTTCTGTCTCATTAAGTAAAATAACACTTTCTTTTATTGTTCATTATAATGAGAGTCCAAACACATTGAAATGTTCAAACACTTTTTTCTCCCCATTGGAAAATAAAAGTCTTTAACGGAGAAAAATGCATTTATAGATTTTTATGCATTTTGTCTGTCAGTGAGCTTTCTAACTTTAACATGATGGACTTCAAATTGTTTTGAAATGACCTTTCCCAGATTCATGGGCAGCTACAGTTTCTTTTCTAAGGTCAGCATTCAGGTCTTTTCTTTTGTGGCATGCACACCACATTTATTTAAGGCATAAATAAATAAATAGTCAAAGTGGGCATGTGTAAAATGTCTAACCACAAAAACGCTGACGGTTCTCTCTAAATGTCTCTTGAAATAGTTAAACCATGAAAAACATTTTGAAAAAACTCATGACTAAAAACTATATCTGTATGACTTAATGCATCAACCCATAATAGAATTACTGGGTATTTACAGGTTGCAAAATATTTGTAAAAATTAAGACAAAACAAAAAAGCTGTTTGTAAAAGAATAAAATATGATCATGTTTAACCATTTATTCACATTTGCTTCTCTGAAGCATATTGGTATGTAATTTTGTGATTAAAAGTGGCTACATTGAAAATGTTAGAGGTTGTGTGTTTTCAGGGTAAATTTATTAATTAAATTTTTTTTTTTAGTTTGCCATCATGATGGCAATTAAAAGAACCACTGAGTGATCAGCAGTGAGTCTTATAAGGGCAGAAAACAATCAATGAGGAAAAGGCACAAAATGAGCTTTGGGCTCCTTATTGTCCTGCATTTGTGCCTTTTGGGGGGGCAGAGGGCCCCAGAGAGACAAAACTATCTACAGTCAAGACTATAAAGGTCCCAATATAACCTCTGATGAAACTGATTACAACTAAGCTGAACTATGAACACAGTAAGCAAAGTACACAAATTAAAATCTTCAAAAACTGAAAGTTTTTTTTTTGTTTTTTTTTTTTAATGATGGTGGGGTGGGAATTCTTCTAAGGTCTCCGTGAAGCACAGATGGCTTGATGAACTGCAGGGCTTTTACTTCGAGAAATGCACAAACCAAAACACAAGATCACACATTTAGTCTCTGCAGATTTGTGTAAACAAAAAAGTGAGGATCTAACAAGAAGAAAACACCAACTGTAGCTAGTATATAAAAACAGATTTAGATTACAACATAAATAGTGTGAAACCTGGTAGAAGTAAAACCACAAACACCATGATCACAACATGGAGTCCAATAATATAGTGGCTAGAATCAAAGTTGATCTCATAAGTTTAGGATATCAATTCTGTAATGGTGTTTGTTTACACTTTTACAGCAGCTACCACTAAATGATGTGAGGTCTCCACTTCTACCAATACTACAAAAGAATACCACTAATAGGCTTAAAATATATACAAATTATTGACTTTAAACACATTTAAACTATGGTCATGAAAACATTTTACTTAGCAAATTAATATTTAAAAATTAAACAAAAATAAAACTCACAAAACCTTTGTAATTATTTTCTAAGCAATTAATGTGCCACTTCTTTAATACAGATATTTAAAGGTGTAACAAAAGAAATACACATTAGAACATTAACGTCAATTATTAGAAGTCAAGAGTGGGGTTTTCTACCTCTAGCTCCTCCATCATCTCACTCTCCCTATACTTGCCTTGAGCTCTAATTCCCATACAAAAAGATCACACAGTATTGGATTTTTTTTATAATGTCTGCAATTTTCCAGTTTTCCAATTTCTTTGTACCATCTTCTAGCTTATTGATCCAGTCACACACAAGATCACAGAGAACCACACAAGTGAACTAACACATTGATGCACACTAGAAAACCGATGATTTTAAAGTATCTAATGATTAGAGACTTTTTCTCTATTTTACTGCCAGCAACACAGATCTCAGCAGACCTGTCTCAGCTTATCATACTTCATCACCCATATATAAATGCAGCAGAGGAAAGACAAATGCACGCTTCTGCTTTTAACAGCATCAAACTTTTGTTCTTAAAAACATATTTAAGCACATCTGAAACACTAGATAGTATCCCTATGGTAACTAATGCAAAAATATCATCTATATGAGCAAACCAAGGTAGCAGCTGTTTCAGGAGCACAACTGAAAAATCAGAAATGGATCTCAATTCTGCATCTGAGGATCTTTATCAACCCACTCGTCTCCGAGATCAGTTGCTGGTGCCAAATATTAAGCAGCTTCAGTTATGCTGACCTTGATCCATAAACATCAGTGAAGTTATAAAAATAGAGCTGAAGGGATCCTGAATCTACCAGATTTACATTGCAGAGAAGTTTGGTCATTGCTCCAGTAACCATGGAGAATATTTCCAAAATAAGAAAAAGAGAAAGAAAAGAACAAAGAACCCAATTGTGAGCAGAAAAAATATCCAACCATACATCTGTGAATGTATGTCAGAACTGTTCCCTAACCTTTGGCTCTAATTGTAATTCTATCAATAATTATGAACTCTAATGCATTATTTAGGCTTTTGAAACGCAGCTTTACTGCCGTAATTCTAATGATTAACAAACTAGGTTTAACAATGAAACATGTAGGTTTCTACTCTTTTTTTTTAAACACACAGTTCTACTCTGATTTATATATTGAAAGCTATTGATCACAGTGTCAGTGATGCATGTAAGAAACTTGATATTAATAAGAATTTGACTTTTATTAGTTTTATATTATTAGCAATATTTGTAAAAATAGAAAAACTGACTTGCTTTATACTTTGTTGATTATACTATGTACAGTTAAGTCATAAAATAAAAAACCATAGCCAGAAATATCCCTACTTAAAAAATATGACGCATCTTACCATTATTGATAAATAAAAGCAGTTATATCCTTGATTAAACAATTGCTTAGTGACACCCTCCCCTTTCTCACATGCAAAATGTATGGGGCTTATTATGGACATGAAACACAGGGATTATAATCAGGAGTTATTTAGGTTTGATGCTCCTGGGAAAGATCAAGCATCAAATAAAATACCTGTTGGCACCAGGTTGATTTTAGATATTTTCTAAGGTAACAAATAACTTAAGATGATGTATCTGGAATCTACTCTTCCCAACAGCTTTTCACCCCCCATGTGAGGTGAAGGCTTTCCTGTCCCATTTGCCTCCCAGCACCCAGGTGATTGATTGATCATTGGGGAACAAGTCAAGGGGGTCTGTGTATCCTAGAAGTATCTTACCGGTGGCTGCTGAGAGTTGAGCGCCCCCCTCTTGGTGGAGCCCCCTCTGGAGCTGAGCCTCTTCCACGACTCTGAGAAACGCCCCCTGGCGGTGGGACGCCCCGGCCCAGATGCTCCAGACGCAACAGATAAATCATCCCGAGTGGAGAACGCACGCTCCCTCCTTAACTCCCTCCGCTCTGACCACTTCTTCTTGGATGCCATCGGTGGTCAAATTCGGTCAAGGTATGTGGAAAGTAGAGCAGCCACGATTAATCGAGGAAGCGGGTCTTGAGTCAGACTGGTGCCACAGGTGGCATCTCTTTTCAAGTCTCTACTACCTGTTAACACTGTTTCACCTGTTCCTCTACAATCTTAAAATCAATGTAAAGGCTAATCTTAGTTCCTTTTATCTCTTACTGTTATCCTTTTATTTTCACAGCTCTTCTTCAGCTCAAATCCATTCTTGCAATCTTTATGTCTTTGTTGGTAGAAGCTTCCTCTGAGGAAAACGGGAGTCAGAGCGAAAGGTGGGGAAGCAGAAGGTCCTCCTTGCTCCCTGTTGCATGTGCTGTTACTGTGGCTCAGCCGTTGATGTTGTTTTCTCTCCTCGCAGAAAGGGAGAGAGGGAAGAATAGGGAAACATGGCAAGGCAAAGAGGGAGGGAGACAGAAGCAGGGGTGGGATATTTAGACCCGGGTGAAAAAGGGCATGAAAATAGAAAAGAAGGAAAGGTAAATAAGCAAAGCCCAGTGTAAAAAAGATCAAGCTGCAGGTGGAGAGGACAAAAGAGAGTAAAGAGAAGAGCAAGAGACTTTGGAGTGCAGAGGTCCTGTTGAATTAGGCTTAGAGATGGTCTAAGATGTCCAAATGCAAAAACACCTCTTCAGCAAGTCACTCTCTCTGTGAACACTGTGCTCCGAATACCCACTCCCTCTGAATCTCCATCTCCTCTCTCTCCTGCATCTCCTGCTCTCTGAGCTTTCATTTACCATGTCATTCTCTGCTCCTCCTTTTTTCACTCAGGATTCTTCTTTTTCATGTTTTACGGTTCACCAGTTAACCTACCAAACACTCAATATCTCGACTACAATCTTAAAAGCAGAGATTGATTGCAAATAAAAGCTGACAGTTGTAATCTCTCCCTCTGCCTCCTCCGCTGTTCTACCTCTCACTCAAGTCATCAAACGTGTCAGAATCTATGTCATTGTGATGGATCGTGGAGTTGTAAGGGGAAGGGGGGGGTGCCTTCATTTCAGTGCATCAAGATATTACCACAAGACTTTAAAATGCAGCTGCAATATTAGGGAGAAACAGTAGATTTGCAATGAGGGTTGGACATAGAGGCAACAAGTGAGATAATGGAATGGGAGACGGCATAAGAAGAGGTGACAGTGCCTGAACACTGGGGACATTGTTGCCGTTGCTCAAAGCAACCACTCACCACCTGGGAGTACTCGACAGTGTGTATTTATCTGTGTGAGTATGGCTTGACTGGGAAAGTGAGAGACAATGAAAAAGAAAGAGATCCCCTGAAGAATGAGAGTAGGGAGAGTGGGATGAGGGAACAAGTGACAGTTGGAGAGCAAATGACGGAGATACACACAGACACAGTCAGCAGAAGCTATTGCACACAAACACCTGCATGTATTAATTAGACAATACCGATTTAGTTCAGAAGTCCACATTTGATTTGAAAATTTACAAAAATAATGCAGCAAGAAAATGTGAAAGATTTAAATGAATTTAGATGTCCTGTTCCTTCAAAAACACCTCTTCAAAGATTACAAAGTTTGGCACCTGTTGATTAAATACAGGCATTAAAGTATTTCTATTTTAAACAAACTGGCTAGACCACAATTATCAGTCAGTCAAGCTATAGGTACAGAAGTCTCCATGGCTGAGTGACTGAATCAACCCATACATTACCAGTTAAAACGCAAAGTGGTGGAGAAATATAGATTGAAAAATTATGCTTCTCTGTCTGACTATCTGAGTTCACTTGGCAGTTTCCAGGACAACTGCACTGGCCTGAATGCATTGTGTCAGGTAAAACCTATGCTACGGAGGATAAAATGACAGTTTCTCAGTGGTTGGGTTGGGCCCCTTTGTTCCAGTGAAAGAAAATCTTGATTCTTCAGTTTGGCAAAACCTTTTTTTAAAAATTCAAGCCCCCGATATTACATTTAAATGTTTGATAATGTGCCAATTCCTGTTCCAACATGATTGCACACTAAGGCAACAAGCAAACACCAAAAGAGCCAACCTCTACAGTATCCTGACCTGAACTTGATAAAACAACAATCTATATAGAACAAGGAAGCCTTCAGTCCACAAGGGCAACTATTTGAAACTAATTAATCAATACACGTTTTGTGCACCCAGGCCATATATATATCACAAAAAATAAGACTAATAACTTTTAGAACCTTCCTCCTCCTTGAATCTAGAATAAATTACATAATTCCATCATCAGCGTGCCACTCAACTCTGGGGTAGTATCTAAAAAGGTGGTATCAAAAATTTTTATATGCATTATATGCTTTCTATTCATGATTCCTTGTGTTCAAACAGCGACCTTGTCATGATCTGTAGTATTCTGTGTTTTTTCTACATTTGCATTCTGCTAATGTCTACTTTGTTTTTCCTGATAGTCTTCTTTGTTCCTTGATTTAAAGAGTACTCTTACCTCAGTGTCTTGATTCCCTGCAGTGGCAAGCTGTGGCTCATACCTGTATGCTCATTAACTCAGCTGTCTTAAATTCCAGCAATCAAGCTCTCCTGTGTTTTGTTGTTATCTCAAGGTCCTATTCTATCACAATCCCCCATTTGGATTTTTTGTTTTTGATTTTCAACCTTAAAAAAAGATAATAATCCCACCTGCCGCCACTCTGTATCTGAGTCCCTGACGCGTTGAAGCTTTCGGGCAGACATCATATACAACCCTATGTTCATCAACAGGATTTCACACAAGTAAATTTGTGTGTGAGAGCAGAAGAGAACATAATTTTTCAATTTTTACCTCCTGACAAATACCACTGACAATCATACAGACACGCTGATCATTTATACACAATTTCAGCACAAGCTGCACTTTTTCCTTACTTCAGTCCCATCTACATATGATTTCTTCAAGAATGTTTATAGATTTTGAATGTTTTATTATTATTTTTTTTTTTCTGGGAAGAGTTGCAAAGCTGTTTTAATGTAATACTTTTAGTTAGTTATTTTAAGGGTAGTTTTGCGCTTTTGATCTCTAAGCTTGCCGGTTTTCTTTTTATTCAGATATTAGTCTGTAATAAATGGGAATTCTGGGCAGCTGTCTTAAATAAATTTTATCCATCCATCCAACCATTTCCCCTCACTTGTATTGGTGCCTTTGCCTATCTCTGGCAGTCTAGAGGCAAAAGGTGGGGTACACCTGTACACCCTCACCAGTCTGTTGCAGGTCACAATGAAGACCCTTGATTCTTTATAAAATATTCCTGTGATTTAAAGAGTCCAACAGGTTTAGGGGGTAGGACTATTTTTAAAGGCATTTTTTTAATAAAGAATGGAACGATTTATAAATAGACAAACAGAGAGACAGAAAGACAGGCAGGCGGACAGACATGTATTATCATTTTGTGAAAGGTCATAATTTGACTAATAATAGCAATACCAATCATAGGTTCTATAGTTGAGACCATAAAGTAAATTGTAGGACTTTCAGACATGATCTCCAACGTCTGGTTGGTAGCAGTCATTTCAGGACTGGTACCAAAATCTGGATGAGTTTACAGATGCTGGGATGTGATTCACCAGCTTCTGTGAGGACAGCTGTATACAGCAATACACCATGGAGAGTTAAAATAATGACAAACCCTGGTTTATAAATAAGCTCAGACAGCTAAGAGAGGAAACAGATGAAGCATTTAGACGTGGGGGCAGATACTTGTTTAGGTCAATAAAGTGCAGGTTTAGTAAGGAGGTGTGAGACACAAGAAGGCTGTCTCTTAGAGATACAACATACTAGTTCTCTGCAAACACCACTATATCTGCATAGTGCCTGCAAACAGATCACAAATTATAAACCCAAAGCCCCCCCTTACTCCATGAACGACTTTTGACTGTAGTTAACATTTCAATGTGTTCTACAACCAGTAACTAACTCATTCAGCTCCAGTCCATCATTTCTTGCCCTCTCTTCTCAAAACTGCCTCTACCCACCCCCCTTCTCTCTCCATCTCAAAAATAGATGTTATTAAACTTTTTAAGAAGCAGAAACCCCATAAAGCAGCTTGACCAGACCCTATTTCCCCAGCGAGCCTTAAACACTGTGCCAGTTGTCTCTGGCATGCACAGACAGTTGAATATGCCAGCCTCTGGTATGCACAGACATGCTATATGCCAGCCTTCCTCAATGTCTCCACCATCTTCTAAAATGAAAACAAGGGATACTTTCATGATTTTGGCACTAATGACTGGATTATTTGTTCATTACTTCCACCTGCCAAGCCCCTCCCAGTTTTTATTACCTTTTATCAGATCCACCTGTTCCAGCTTCTTTCTAAACGGTTTGGTCCCAGCCACCAATGCCAGATTATTCAAGCCACAGGTGAGAGTTCTCTAGTGTAGCCAGTTTGTTACTCTGATTGCCTTATCCTGAACAGTTTCTGCTCCTGGACCTCCTGAATAAATGCTTTTATAAAACACTTCAGTCTGTCTGTGTGAATTCTTGATCCAACGTTCTGAGTCCTGACATATACAGAACTAAATGACTTAAGACATGTTGCCGACCTCTCTAGTAATGAAGTCCTTCAAGCGCTTTGTGCTGATCCATCTTAAGTCCATCCCAGACCCACTTCTGGATCAACTGAAGTTTGCATACAGAGCCAAATGGTCCATGGATAAATCAATAAGCATGGCCACAGCCTGCACCAAATGGACTCCTCAGGAACCTATTCCATGATTCTGTTTGGAAACTTTAGCTCTGCCTTAAATGCCCTTAGTTTGAACCTGCTGCTGCTACAGCACAAGCCAAACCAGCTGAGTATGCCTGACTCCATCTACAGATAGATCACATACTTCCTGACAAACAGGAAGCAGAATGTTAAGCTAGGAAACAGGGCTTTTGATTCCATGACTATAAGCCTTGATTACCCTAAAGATTTAGTCATTTCCTTACTACTTTTCTCCCTATACATCAACAGCTGCACCTCCAGTCACTAGTATGTCAAGCTCCTGAAGATTGCCGACGACACCATCCTTACTGGGCTCCTCTCGGAGGGGCGCGAGTCTGCCTACAGGTGGTAGACTGATCATTTGGAGACCTGGTACAGCTAGGAAACAGGAGCTCAATGCTCAAGATGGTCTTTAAAGGAGTAAACCCCACCCTACCCTATTATTGTGTGTGACTACTAAGTCATCAAAAACCCCATTTACACTACCCTCTGAAAACCGATCCGTGCTGCGCTTGAATCATTAACCGTGCGGAGCTCAGTTCCTTACAACCATTTACACACCATGCCAGCGCGGTTCCTCACCTAGTAGTGGTGATCTATGGAGGTAAACAAGCGGTAAGAGATAAACAAGCAAACCAACATGGCAGTGGAAGGTATGTTTTGTTATCATTGTGATATTTGGTTGCTTGCGAAGAGTCAGGCACAAAAGGCAGCCTTTGGTGAATTTACTTGACAGAGTCGGCTTTTGGGAACGCACAAACGATAGTTTAATCAGGGCTTACAGATGCAGGAAACAACGACAGACATCAAGGTTCATATTATTGCTAAGCAGAATCACCATTGGAAATTGTGTGGCAAGGTAGGGAAGCTAGTAATTTTTCTGAATGTCTGTGGTTTCATGATTACAGAAGCTGACTGTAAGGAGATGACACAGTCTGCTCAGGCACTCTTTGTTAGAGCCAGAAATGAACCATTCGGAGCCCTACTGATGAACTACTACCATTTTAGCGCCATTCAGTTGTGTCTGGCACGGTTCAGTTCAGTTGTGCGTGCCATTTACACTCTACAGTTATCTCAGTTATCGTGCCTGGACATATCTCGGCACTGTTTTAAAAGGGTAGTGTAAATATAGACTCCTTTCACTTTCTCTTTTCCTATTCATTAGCAGCCTGTTGTGGAAATCTTTCATCCCCCACATTCCAGCTGATCTTC